ACTCGCCCTGAACGCATTTCAACTTGATGTTGGAACTTTGAAAGTTTATCAATTTGACATTCAATAGAGCACTCCCAAATCGCATGGAGATCTCAGCTAGCTACCGGTTTAATATTGCGTTGATTTTCGATGTTTTCTCATGGCATACTTATGTTTTGAACAGGACAGGATTATTGAATACAGCGAACTGTATATCCAATACGGCGCAGGTGAAGCGCAACTCGCGATATGACATTCGGTTACCGTGTGACCAATGGTAAGGTAAAGAGCAAGTTGCCAATCTCTTTCAAAGGGCTGTCGCACTAGGGCCGCGTTCCTACGGCGTCCAAGAAAAATCCAGAACGCGGCAACGCAGTGGCATCGCAAGTGAACGTGGTGGCACCGCCAGTGAACGTGGTGGCATCGCAAAGAACGCTAAGTGACGGCGCGCACTTTGAGCATGCCCAAAACAAACGCTATCGCTCGGCGTTCTGATAAGAGCGCAGTGGGATCGCCGTGAGGTCGCCGTAGCAGCGCAGTTATAATTAGGTCTCATACGTATACAACGCCACAGGATCGCTGCGGGTGCGCACAGAGGTCGCAGTGTGAACGCAATGGTTATCGATGCCGCTTGAACGGCGATCGTAGTGTTCTCTGAGATGACACTGCGTTTCTACCGTGCTGATACGGCGCTGATACGGCGCGTCTACGGAGCTTAAAGGACTTTTATTTTTCTTACCTTGCTCTAACAACAACTGTACGGAGGCGCCACGGCGATCATTGCGCTTCTACCGCGTCAATCGGCAGGGAAAGATTTTTGTATGGTTGGTTCATTGTCATACGTTTGTATGACAATGAACCAATGAAGATTTTTGTATGGTTGGTTCATTGTCATACGTTTGTATGACAATGACAATGAACCAACCATACAAAAATCTTTCCCTGCCTTCTTCACCTTTCTACCTCTTTTGGTGGGCATGATCTCAACTGTTCGAGAGCAAATGGAAGAATGGAGAACTGATGGAGATAGCGTTTTTATAGTTAGTGCAAAACAACAAGTCGTCAGCGCAATGTGAGCGCCGTGATAGTGCAGTGCACATGCAGTGCACGCGCTGTGACAACTCTATGCACACAGTGGAACCACCGTGAGAGCGCCATGAGAGCGCAGACAATCGCTAACTAGAACTCCGTAAGAACGAGGTAGAACACCATTGAGCTCCGTAGAATCGACAAGGTCGCTGTGAGAACGCCGAAACATCGCCATCTTCATGAAAAATATCATTTTTTCCTACGATCTCACGGCGCTTTGGGAAATTTAACAATGCCGTGCAATCGCAGTGGCAACGCGGCTAGGTGTAACAGGGGTTTTATATATACGTCTCTGATGCCCATAAACGTTTTTATGTCATTATGAAGTGATCTTTTTACATTATGTTCCTCTTAATGACAAAGAGTGTTTTGCCATCATGTCATTTTTTTGTACTTAAGTGCAAAAAACATTGGTTTACACTTAAGTGCAAAAGAATAATAGAAAACTTTTATCACTGAAGTGTAAGAAAATACGTTGTTTTTTTGGGGGGGGGGGGGGGGATTGAATGCAAAAGAATAAATAGTTAATGATTACTGCATAATGACAAAATTTATTTTGCCATTATGTCAAGAACTTTGTACGTACTTAAAAAAATCTAAAAAAGTGCTAAATTGGTACAGTTTATGACCGAGTACTCTATTAATCCTTTCTGGCAAAATTTAAAAGCATCTATTGATAGTGCATTAGATATATCTCAAAATGTAGTCATTGTTGGCGATCTACACGTTAATTTACTTACTGTTTCTAATAACCATGCCTTTATTGATTTTATTAACACATTTCCTTAAAAAACATTTATAAATGAACCTACAAGAATTAGTCCATCTAGATCTAGTTTACCTGACCCCATTTTACTATCAGATTCACTTACTTGTAATTAATATGGGCCTCTTGTATACAATCCCCATCAACTCACTATAAGGAACCCCCTTAATACTCCTTTGAATCAATCCATTCGACATAAACTTTTCTTTCAAAGTACTTCTTCCGATAACCATAAGGCACAGAGTCGAGCCGTTTAAAATGTAGATTGCTGCGATGAAAAGCCAGTCGATCTCATCAAATACATCACTTAGTCCAATGTTGTGGTCACAGGGGTCAAATACTTTTAGATACAGAGAGCAACTTCTCACACAAAACTATAAGGCACAGATTCTCCGAGATATTCTGTCTGCAGCTTGCTGTGATGAAGGACCATTCAACATCGTCTTAAAATCTTAAACTTAAAATCTTGCCCAGACAAACTTTTTCAAAGGTTCAGGTCAAAGGTCAGAGAATAATAAAGCTTTCCACTCAGTAAGAAGTAATGAGATTAGGTTATTTAAAGGTTTATACATATCTGACCAAATGTGATCTTGAAAGTGGGTCAAGGTCATTCAAATGCTCCTTCATCCAAATATCAATATTCTGGGCCTCATCGTTATTCAGAAGTAGATGCTGTATTATCACTCAAACTCACAGTCACTTTGTATCAGATAAGTAACAAGTAGAACAATGGGCCTGCATCGCTCACCTGATATTCATCTCACACTTGTAAACTTAAAAGAGATCTAAAATAAAGCTATAGGCAAAATATCAGTATTTATGACTATGAGTCATTCAAAACAACCTGTTAAAAGATTTTATAACATTTGACCTCTGTGAACTTGAAAGTTGAACAAAGTCATTACGTTGAACACACTTTATAGCCCTTCATCCAAGCATGCTACTAGCCAAATATCATCACCCTGAGCGTTTTGGTTATTCAGAAGAAGTTGTTTTAAGATTTTTACATATTTGACCCCTGTGACCTTGAAAATGGTTGAAGGTCATTTGTTTGAACAAACTTGGTAGTCCTTGATCCCATTTTGCTGCTGGCCAAAACACAACCCCAGTCCTTTTGGTTATTAAGAGGAAGTTGTTTAAAGTAAAATATTGACGCCGGACGCTGGATGCTGCACCACAGCATAAGCTTCGGGCCAGGTGAGCTAAAAATTGGAACTGAAGAAGAAAAACAAAACGAGACATCTGATGTCCATGTTTATTGACAATACCAGTATATTACCTCATAAAACATTTACGACACTACAGTAGGTCCAGGCATGTGTGACAGGGACTCAACTCGGCCCCTAAATGTTGGATGTCCAACCCGATATCATAATCGATCCTAAAATTTGAATTAAAAGTATTTCTTGTTACATGTTACTATAACAATTTTTCTGCAGGTAATATTAAGCTGAATAAGTGTTTACGTACATAATGTACACATATACCTAATACATGTAATTAGTTGAAGGGAGGGGAAAACAAAGTTTTTATAATCCAGTCGCTAGTTTGTTCCTTACTGATTTGTGTTGGTTCTGGTTTGTTACAACAGCTAAGGTTATGAGTTGACAAATTCTTTGTATCATGTTTACAGAACAGAAATACTGTCTTTAACTTTTGATAAATATGTTTATCAATTTAGATAAAATAGAATTTTAGCTTACACTTGCCATGGGACTTATGTTCAACTCAAAATACATTTTAGTACTATCATATACAGTAATAACTCCATATGATGTCCCTTATTTCATTTGTCACCTTGTTTACCACAATAAATTGCAATGTATTTTTTCTGTTTTTCTTTCATACATTTCCTTCAATTTATTGCCAAACTTCTTCATAACGCCAACATTTCTTTGGACAAATGGCGGCAGTTTAACAAGGTTTTACTGTATTTATACAAATCAGACTGGAGTTTAAAAGACTGAAATATTGAAAATTTATTAATGAATGCTTCAAATATTTCTACAAATCAGACTTGAGTTTAAAAGACTGAAATATTGAAAATTCATTAATGAATGCTTCAAATAAAAAGACTGAAATATTGAAAATTTATTAATGTATGCTTCAAATCAATTTTGAGGATAATGCATGTCACATCAAAAACTATTTTTTGATGAATACTGCAGTCTTCATAACTTCTTACCCTCTGGGTTGATATTTCCCCTCTCACACATGACTGGGTACCAGTAATTATACCAACTCCCACAATTTATTGTAAGCACAAACAATTGTTCACAAGGAAATGCAAATATCCAAGACAAGATCATCACAAACCATCATAATGACAATTAAACAATTTCAAATACAACATATATAAATATCTTAAACCATTTAACATGTACAGAATATACAGCAGTGCATCAGCGGTATAAGACAATGGAAGTAGGATGAATCCAATTTATTTTAAGGACCTTCATTTTAATGTTATGTTTCACTCTTCAAATGAGATCTTTCATTATAAAAAATTGTCATGCTTCAAATAAACTCCTTCATTAAAAATGTAAAGTGATGTGCTTCAAATAAACTCCTTCATTATAAACAAATTATCATGCTACAAATAAACTTTATTCATTATACATAATGTCATGTAGTGATACGCGTCAATAAACTCCTTTGTTATAAACTCAACTTATGCTTTATATAACCTCACTTCTAGATGTTAAGTTGTATGCTTTAACTCATTCACCCCTGAAGACACATTTAAACTGTTCCATTTCAAAGGTTTTAGGGGTGAATGAGTTAAATAAACTCCTTCATTATAAACATAGCCTCATGCTTCAAACTAACTTCACTTCAAATATCTTAAGTTATATGCTTCACAATATATTCCAACATTTTTCAAGGACCTCCATTGTAAATATTTAGTATCAGGCTTTAACTGAATTCCTCTATAATCAATATGAAACCTTCATTTATTCTCATTCACTCCTGGAATTTCATAATAAACTATTTCAACCTTTGAATTGGATGAGTTCAAATGTGTCTTCAGGGGTGAATGAGTTAAATAAAACCCAACACATCATGGGCCTTCATTATATTTGGTTTGATGAATAGGATTTGGTGTCCTATTAACAGCTATGTGTGCTGTTGATGTATTTACCTCCTTGTGACAGCAAGGATCTGATGCCGATGTATAGTGCTACCTCACTGAAATAGCATGGTGAAGGCACCTAGCACTGAACTCCACGCTGTCACATACTGACACTGAGTAAACCAGGTGACACTGTGTAAACCAGTCTCCGTACTTACCTTAAATGATAAAAGCACACAATTCAAATAAAATCATACATAAGTCAAGGTCCTTCAACATAAACATGGAATCGCATGCTTTTAATACACTCCTTTATCATCAACATCAATTATAATGCTTCAAATAAACTTCAACCTATATTGTCAAATATCTTTAGTCTTCTGCTTCTAATAAACTCCCAGTATATGTCAGGGAGCTTCAACATCATTTTTTTTTTATTGTAAACATAAAGTATCACACTGAAAGTAAACACATGATATGACAAGAACAACCATTATAATGTATAGATAATATCAATATTATACTGCTACAGTTCTACAAGGATTTCTGTAAAATTGATAAACATTTAAAATATTTAGGTGGAGAAGTGCTAATATGTGTATAACTAAATGAATGTATTTATATGTTGAGCAATTTTTACAATATAGAACAAAATGAACAGAGACCGAGGCTCATATAATAATGCCTGCCACAAACTAGTCAAGAGTGACCTCTGACCCATTAAACATAATGATCAATGACCATCAAGTTATATTCAAGTGTAGAACTTGATGTCTACATATCATGGTTTGATATTAACTGAACCTGTTGAATGGTTCATAAGATATTTTTTTGTCTCAAGCCTTTCTCTACAGATGTACAGACAGATACACAAACACATGCACAGACAAAGCAAGTGCTATAACCACCTCAGACGGGGTATAAAAAAGCAACCAATTATAAAAATGTTTAATAATAAGTCTCGTAAATGCATGTAGCAATATTGAAAACACTGACTATGAATAATAGATATAAAATAATGCCCTTAAGCGTACACATGTTACATGAAGCTTAGTTTTCTTTGTAGGTATATTACTTGGTATCCTCGTCATGTGATATGTACGGACCAGAAAATAATGCTGAATCTTTGAGGCCAGGACTACAACAGGACATCGCCATGATGCTAAGTAGCTATATACATAATATACCTCACCTCAATTTAAGGCAGGATTTTCCACATTTTCCAATTCATCTCGTCAAGAAAAAAACCAGGTGTGTGACTCAAAGCAGGCTTGTCGGTCACAGAGGTAACACATTGATATGTAGAAAGATGGCGACAAGATTGTGGGTCCTTACTGGATATGTCCTCAGCATTTAAATCTGACATTCTAATTATAATATGACCATGAATAAGCCAGAATGCTACATACGTGTACCAGTTTCAAGAAAATTCACCTGACGAAATTGAAACATAATTTAGTAATAAAAATTTGGCATGTCAAATGAACAATGAGACAAAGTCAAGAAAATAATCAGTTTGTTTCTTCCCAAAATATGCATGTTTAACAAGTTTGAATGTAAAGGATATAAACAATGCAGCCTCACCATCTGGATTCCGTAGATTTATTATCGGTTTACATGTTTTGACTAGCTAGCTAGATCACCTATCATCAGAACAACGGTTTATACATTTACAGAGCTAATGTTAAAATGACGGCTCTGCCCTGATGTAATATCAATTTTTTGTGTATCATGTGATAGCAACAATAGAGATATGTATAGTTACCTTGAAGAATGGACAGAGTACAGAGATTGAATGATAAACAAAGGGCCATAACTCTGTACATAACCGGTATGCCTTTCAAAATGCCCAAGACAAACTTTGAAATAAAAGAATGCATAATGGGCCATAAATCTGAAGCAACACAGAGGACTTTGAGATAAAAAAAAATATGCATAAAGAGCCATAGATTTGCACATAGCAGCCCAAAATTAAAGACCACCCCAATTTTAAGAACACAAAATTTTTACTTGAGTACATAATAAATATAGCAAGTTAAGTGAATGTCGGTGAAAAACTAAAGAAGTTATGCTTTGAACAAATATTGATGACACCCAGCCAATTAGAAAATGCTATACCGTAACACATCTTATCATACACATGTGTATATTGAGTCAGTTTCCAGAAAAATGAAAATAAAGTTGAATTGTTAATGCAGGAAAACTTGTTTATGATAATAGAACATTTTTCTTGCGGCTGAATGACACCTTAACTTCATATGAATTTTTTTTGGTAAAAATAAATCAAAGAAAAGGTAAACCAACATAGTGGGCTATGGAATAACAAATGTAAGTCAAACATCAACAATTAATAAACATAACAAGCAGAGAAAACAAAAACCAGGGAAATGTAACGAACATGACTACAGCACCCACAGCATTGGGATCATGTTCACCACTACAGCACCCACAGCACTGGGTTCATGTTCACCACTAAGCCCATCCGATGTTAAAGAAAGGAAATAGTCACATTTGAGACAATCACCTCGCCAAAATGAAACAAATATTTTCCATTAAGCCTAACTCTTTTGTAACACAAAACATGTTTGCCATTTAGCCAATCCCTTTGAAACACTTAACATGTTCATTCCTAGATTCAACCGTTTTCTAACACTGCCCAAGTTCCACTTTAAGTAATACATAGCCCAACATATTTTGTATTTAGCCCACAGAACATGTTCGCAATTAAGCCAATCTCTTCATTAAACACTGAACAAATTTGACATTAACCCCTCTGTAGTACACATAACATGTTCGTCATTAAGCCTAGCACTTTGTTCAACACAAAACATATTAAATATTAAGCCATGTCTTTTGTCAAACAATAGTTCTAAATAACATACAATTAAGATGGCAAGAATTATGATGGGGTTATATTTTGTTGTAGCTCAATACATTTTTTTGTTTTGTTCCAACTTAAGTAACCTAACTTAGATAAAATCTCTAAATATATAGGTCCAGCCAGGACAAGCTAGGTAATACTGTACACCAACATTAGTCAACAAAAAAATAAACATAGCAAATATATAGAGCGAAAAATAACACTGGGCTTATACAGATTTTACCAGCGAAAGTTGGACTGGACTAAAGTTCCAGGTGTACAGTACAGTACTTAATGTCACTGACAATTAGTATTAGTGACCAATATTAACAGAAACAGGAAAGGTTTAAGCTAATGGAATGTGTGCACACCACAGACACCAGTTGGAAGGTACAGAAATAAACATGTCATGATAGTCGTAAATCTTATCAAAATAATATATATTTCAGAAACATAAAAAAATAATCTGATTACCAAGGTAACGTTTTGTATGGAGTCAATGCCTTGCTAATCCAGATTTTAACAATCCGATGAAAAATGTTTAAAGCATTGATGTTACTCTGACAATATCAGGGTATTATTGAGTAGTGTTTCTTATATGTTAAATGCAACAAGTGACATTTTCCTTTGATGGTAAACTTAATTTATCCACTGAAAATACACATAGTTCCAAAAATACAATAATGTAGCCGAAAACAGACTCTTTCAGTATTCTTCTCGAAATTGACGCATACACCCCTGAAATTTCGTAATGAACTATTCCAACCTTTTAATTGGAATACTTCAAATGTTTCTTCAGGGGTAAATGAGTTAAATGATTTGAGCCTTAAGCACCACTGAAAAAAACCCTGTCAAATTAGGATTAAAGACAATGATATTAAACTAAGTAAATAAACAAATACATTTTGATTAGCTGCATGTGACACTAAATATGGTATGTATGATGGTCTGGCTCAGCAGGTGATAGCTTCCGTGACATGAGAATCATTTTCAATGAATTCCACTGCCTGCTTCAGGTCCTCGATGACTATGTCAATATCGGCTAGAGTTGTCTCCCTGCCTACTGATAATCTGAGTGCGTTCCTTGCCACAGATTCAGGGATACCAATGGCCAGCAGTATGTGTGATGGTCTGAAATTACATATTAAATTATTATTCACATTTTTTTTCAACAAGTGACATGGATTTTAATAACTTTAATAACTTCTAATTCCAAATCCACATGTTTGTATAATATTTGTGTATACCAGGTATGCACAAGTTAAATGAACAAACATTGTTTAGTAATATACAGGTACCTGTGTACCTTAATCCACCATACAACAGTCAACAGCTGTGTACTGACCTGTTCTGGGCATGGCATGCTGCTCCAACACTGGCCTGCAGTCTGTCGCAGTGGGACAGAACCATGTGGCCTGTAACAGTGGGAGAATACATTCTAATTTACCAGTGATATTTCCAATTATAAAAACAGGTCCCTAAGGTAACATTATCAAAAGCAAGGAGCAGAGAAGTAAGAAAACAATGAAGGTGCCAAGTATTGGTATGGGGAAAACAGGTTATCTTATTGTTTCTTCTATGTCCCCTAAAGAGAAAAGAAACCTCGGATTCTGCAGGGGGCCCACATGAGTTGCCTCTTATGGCGATGTGCAGTGGAATAAAGCAGACTTACACTTTCCCCAAACTTGCTGGAGTTCTCTGTCCGTGACCAATGCAATAACGTACCAAACAATCTGAGTCCCAAAATTGCATAGACTGTCCCAAGATGGTTACAGACTATGCATGGACATACATACACACATGTACCAAATGTGTTCCGAGATCGTAATGACCAATAATTACTTTACGAACCAAATTAAACAATCCATGTCCAAAGATGGTAATAACCTATACATGGACATACCAAACTGTGTCCAAAGATGGTAATAACCTATACATGGACATACCAAACTGTGTTCAAAGATGGTAATAACCTATACATGGACATACCAAACTGTGTTCAAAGATTGTAATGACCACTAAGTTTACTTACCAAGCAATCCATGTCTGAAGATGGTAATGAACAATACATTTAGATACCAAGCTGTGTTTCATGGATATTATGACCAGTTAGTTTACGTACCAAACAAACCGTGTCCCAAAATGGAAACATTACAAGTGTTCGGGAGACGCTCACTGGTGGCAAATTTCCCGTTGATATGGATTCGGTCCCCAAACACATCCTGAAGCAGAATCATACATAATAAATTTATGTGACAGAATGTTGGTTTTATTAATTAAGGCACAAGCACCATATTTTAATACCAATCATAATGATACCAATGCAATTTCTTATACTGTTTTGACCTTCAAATCGCGTAATTTTCACCCAGCGTAAATAACCACGTTTACAGTAACTAGTTACTTTCAACAGCACCATTACTGAATTACATGGAAAATGTCAGTCTTATTATGTAGCATTATACGCCCACAAGGGATAAATATCACATTTCAACAGACACAAATTGCTGCAAGTAATATCAATATTGTGAGATGAGAGAAAAAAACATAACAAAAATATACTGAAAAGATAAAAAGAAAAACAATCTTGTGTAAAAGTACCAGATGTCACGCATTGTGGTAAATCTCCTGTTAATACAGTAGCAGGAGTCACACATTGTGGTAAATCTCCTGTTAATACAGTACTTTGAGTCACATATTGTGGTAAATCTCCTGTTAATACAGTACCTGGAGTCCCACATTGTGGTAAATCTCCCGTTAATACAGTACCTGGAGTCACACATTGTGGTAAATCTCCTGTAAATACAGTACCAGGAGTCACACATTGTGGTAAATCTCCTGTTAATACAGTACCAGGAGTCCCACATTGTTGTAAATCTCCTGTTAATACAGTACATGGAGTCACCCATTGGGGTAAATCTCCTGTTAATACAGTACATGGAGTCACTCATTGTGGTAAATCTCCTGTTAATACAGTACTTTGAGTCACATATTGTGGTAAATCTCCTGTTAATACAGTACCAGGAGTCACACATAGTGGTAAATCTCCTGTTAATACAGTACCTGGAGTCGTGTCTCGAGGTAGTCCCTCACTGTAGCCATATGTTTGCTGTAGTTGTCTAGGTACTGTACCACAAGTTCAGCGGCCTGTACAAACAAGTAGGTAAGATTCAACCGTGTCATTAGTCTTACACTGTGTACATAAGACATCATGTGAAAAAATAATACAATTTAGACTCGTGTACATTACAGCATTGAGTTTCAAAATAGCATGACAAAAAGATCCAAACAATGACCAATTTTTGGAAAACATTCAGTATATTAGTTCATGGTAATATTGTTTCATTTCATAGCGTTGTTTAGAGGCAGTACAATGAAAATGTACACATTTGTAATTAAATTTTCTATGATAAACTGCTAATATAACCAACATGCCAGTCTGACAAGTGAGACCACATACCTTTCCCAGACCAGCTATCATACCAGTGTTCTCTGTCCTGTAATGAAGATAGATTAACTCAACACAATTATAAGTTGTGCGATTACGAAACAGTGAATGTAAGAATTATTTTTTTATCAAATATTACAACCTGACATTTATTACAGTTAACAACTAGAGATTTTATTTTGTGAACAAAAACGTATGTCTCCCTTAAAGGACTCACACAACTAAATCAGCCAATCCGTAAGTGTTTCATACGATCGTAATCCCTACCTAAAATTTGTTCTGGTTAAATACAGTGCCTCTGAGTAATTTAAATAGGTAATTGTTGACATTTAGCGCTCTTATATGCCACTAAACCTGTCAAAAAACACCTTTTGAATCCTTTGTCAATTATGTATCAGTTTCTGTAAATCTAGACAGTTGTCACTATATAGTGTTGAACTTCAAATATTAACACTATTAGCTCAAAAGCTTAGTAATAACATATACTAAATAAATGATTTAGTTGTGCGAGTCCTTTAACAGTTTAAAAATTACGGCCCAGGCAAGATATTCCTGAAAACTTTGCACTTATTTGACCTTTGACCTTGATGTCAAGGTCACAGTGACCTAACGACAGTTCACTGTACATTATCTGTTGGTGATGCAGATATACTGCAAGTTTTATCAAGATATCTTGAACTTAGCACTTATTTGACCCTATTGTTAGAGGAACTGCCTGCTGCTAAATGACAGCCGAGAAACCTTACTGCTCCCAGGAGGTACAGTACTTATAATGATAAAATTTCCTTTTGACCCCTCTATACTTACCCTGGTCTGAAGTTACGCTCCTGTCCTCCACCATACAACATCGGGTATAAAGGTACCTCTTTACTTCCTAGGTTTCTCACAAACACGGCTCCGATCCGTGGGCCATAGAACTGAAACAACAAGAACCTATATAGAACACTTGTGAATTAAGGGATATATGCACATAATCAACCAGTGTTAACAAAATATATTTAACACATACACAAAATGGGGAATCAGAATGTAATGATCTGATATAAAAATAATACCTTGTGGCCCACAATGCTTAGATAATCCACGTCCATTTCCACAACGTCTACCTCCATTTTACCAATAGCCTGGGCTGCATCTGTGTGCAGCAGGATTCGTGGCAGGTTTTTACGAGTCAAATTGATGTGGCGGATACTCTCAAAGATCTCCTTTATTGGCTGAAAATATACAACATTATTCCTTTGGACAAACTCATAAACTCTAGCTACATGTATATTGTTTCTACCAAAGCATGGTCTCTTGTACATGTATTGATAGAAAAGTTTAGACTACATTACTGTAATCAGCCTTAAGATTTCACACAAGAAATACAGTACCATTATACTTGTATACATATGTGCTCCTAGTAAATGTCTTATTCATTATTTTACAAGAGCTTACAAAATGCTGAAGGAATTGATGGCTCTGATCATCCAGAGAACTACAAACAAATATCATGACTCGGCACTCGAAAAAAACATTTTATTTTATTTTTAATTTTCAATTGTGACACTGAAAGTGGGTCAAGGTCATTAACCTTCACCTAAGTCAGCTACATGATAAAAATCGTGACTCTGGGCCTTACAGTTTAATAGAAAATCTTGTAATAATTTCATAACACATTTGACTCAAATGACCTTAAATGTAAAATGTAGGTCAAGGTAATTTACTTGAACAAATCTTATACTCCTTCATCACGGCATGCTACATGTCAAATATCATGACTCTTTGACTTGTGGTTCTGAAGAAGTTATTTTAAGGAAATGGTGATATCAAACAGCTTGACAAGCGGACATTGGACTGTGCATATAAAGTCACAGGAACTTAACTCCAAGTGAGCTAGAAACAGTCAAACTTCAGTATTAAAAATCATTCTTAGCAGAAAATGTCCTGTTTTATAGAATTTTCATTCTTAATACCATAAAGAGCACTTTACAAGATACTTGTATCACACCTGTCTCCTTGTTACAAGATACCTATATTATACCTGTCTCATTATAACAACGTATTGTATTATACTTGTCTCATTATGACAACGTATTGTATTATACCTGTCTCATTATAACAACATACCTGTATCACACCTGTCTCATTGTAACAAGGTATTGTATTATACCTGTCTCATCATAACAATGTATTGTATTATACCTGTCTCATTATGACAATGTATTGTATTATACCTGTCTCATTATATCAACATACCTGTATCACACCTGTCTCATTGTAACAAGGTATTGTATTATACCTGTCTCATTATGACAACATACCTGTATCACACCTGTCTCATTGTTAGCCAACATAATGCTGATCATACAGGTAGATGGACGGACAGCAGCTATCACATCCTCTTTCATTACACAACCAGTTTTCTGAGAGGCAGGTACAAACGTCACACCTGTCATAAAATTACTAGAATAAATGTCAAATGTCACAGTCTTTGGCATTACAGTAAAACCTCAATATAATGCCCCTCATTTCATTTGCCTCCTCGTTTACCGCCGATATATTTCAAGGTCCAAATTTTCCTGCTTTCTAAAGAAACCCTTAATTCACTTCCCGCAATATATCGCCAAAACCCTTCAAAACAGCAAAATTTCTCTGGACAAATGGTGGCAGTATAACAAAGTTTTACTGTATATATCAAAAGGTATGAGGCAAGTAAACAATAAAACATGAGCAATAGAAAAGACGAGAAATGTAAGTTACAGAATATTTATGACAGGGAAACTTATTCCCCAGTACTTTTTATATTTTGTATTTTATTCTGTGGCATTTTATGTATTCTGTTAACATGTGCATGCTGTCATCTCGTAATAGCCCTAATGGTGTGTGTGTATAATGTATTTTACATGACCATATATTATAGACAAAAGTCGAACTGTGCTACCCTGTATAAGTAAAGCGTTTATTGTTATTTTAATTAAATATTACATACTAGCGATTCCCTCCTCAGCCAGGTTTTCCAGTACAAGCTTCACCGAATCATGTTCCATGTTGGAGGTGATAAAGTGGGGCAGCTGGTCTGAGTTGTCTCCCCTACTGGGATCAGTCCCATTAGTGATTTCGTGACAGAGATGAAAGTGCTTGAGAGCAGTCTGTAAAATCATGTTGTTGGCCTGTCATAACACAAAGATACATAAGTATTAAATATATATTACAAAGAGATATTACCTGTATATAAACATGACATGTAGGGATATCATGTACAAATTACATAAAGATATTTTCTGTACCTATATTTTTTAAGAGTCTATAGCTTTTCTAAATAAAGCATTAACTATTCAAAAGAATTCTTTCAGTAGAAGAGAAATGTGTCAGCTCCAGTCACCAAAGCAACATGACTTTTCATCAGTTCTTTAAAGAAACACTTTATTGAAAAAACTGGAGAGAAATAACTAAAAAAGGCAATGTTATTTAAATATTCTATCAAATTTGTTTTGCTTACTCTTATATTTTGACATGCTATCCTCGTAAAATTGTAATTTTCACACACAAACTTGAATCTTCCAATATCACTTACCTCTGTTCCTCCTGATGTGAAAAGAATATCTGGAAAAAAAATTGAAAAAATAAATAAATAGAAATTATAATTAAAACGTATTATAACTAACAAACTATTCATTTGACTTGACAATTGTTTCACTATAAAAATACCTGTATTTAATTAACCTTTATTATGTCACAGCTATATGTTTTATGTCACACCTGTGTGTAGTTTACCTGTATCCTGTCACACCTATTTGTATCCTGACACACCTGTGTGTAGATAACCTGTATCATGTCAAACCTGTGTGTAGTTTACCTGTATCATAGCACACCTGTGTGTAGATGTGTAGATTACCTGTATCATATCCCACCTGTGTGTAAATCACCTGTATCATATCACACCTGTGTGTAGATTACCTGTATCCTGTCATACCTGTGTGTAGTTTACCTGTACCTGTATAATTTCACACCTGTGCATAGTTTACCTGTATCCTGTCACACCTGTGTGTAGATTACCTGTATCCTGTCACACCTGTATGTAATTTTACCTATATAGTATCATGTCACACCTGTAGGTATTTTATATGTATCCTGTCACATCTGTGTGTAGTTTACATGTACAGTGTTTTGTCACACCTGTATGTTGTTTACCCATATCATGTCACATCTGTTTGTATTATGTCACACATGTGTGAAGTTTAATTGTATCATATCACACGTATGTGTAGTCAAACTGTATCCTGTCACACCTGTATGTAGTTTACATGTATCAAATCACACCTTTATGTAGTTTACCTGTATCATGTCACACCTGTATGTAGTTTACATGTATCATATCACACCTGTGTGTAGTTTATCTGTATCCTGTCACACCTGTATGTAGTGTACATGTATCATGTCACACCTGTATGTAGTTTACCTGTATCATGTCACACCTGTATGTAGTTTATATGTATCATGTCACATGTGTGTAGTTTATCTGTATCCTGTCAAACCTGTATGTAGTTTACACATATCCTGCCACACAAGTGTATAGTTTACCTTATCATGTCACACAAGTGTCTAGTTTACCTGTATAGTATCCTGTCACACCTGTGTGTAGTTTACCTGTATAGTATCCTGTCACACCTGTGTTTAGTTTACCTGTACCTGTCATATCTTTGTGTAGTTTACATGTATCATGTTACAACTATATGTATCCTGTCACACATATGTGTAGTTAACAAGTAGCATGTCACACCTGTGTATAGTTTACCTGTATCCTGTCACATCTTTGTGTAGTTTACATGTATCATGTCACACCTGTGTATTGTTTACCTGTATCATGTAATTCATGTGTATAGTTTACCTGTACCAGGTCAAATCTTTGTGCAGTTTACATGTATAATGTCACACATGTGTGTAATTTACCTTGATCAAGTTATACCTGTGTAATGTACCTTCATCAAGTTACACCTATGTATGTGTAATTTACCTTCATCAAATTATACCTGTGTATAGTTTATCTATTTCACGTATGTAACACCTGTGTGTACATGTAGTTTACCTGTACCCTGATAGTTACCTGAAGACTTGGCTCCCACCATGGTGGCCAGGTTGGTCCTGGCACGGTCTATTACTGTCTTGGCCTTCACACCTTCAATCAATCAATCAATAGTTTATTTCAGTGTCACGCATATTTAATTAGTAATCATACGACAAAACAGGGCCATATTACAATAACATTAATACCTTATTTAATTTGTATCAATTATTATGAAGTAACAGCTAGGTATTGCCAAGTCAGTATCAATGATTTCCTCAGTGAAAATTTGACAGAGACAATGAAAGATCGATCCTGACAGGAAGTCAGTTAATAAAGTTTAACATAGAAATGTACAGAAGAACCTGGTTAACAAGGAGACAATGACAGGACCAGAAATATAGAAATTATCCATACAATTTTACCTTGTGCATGTATACACATATTAAGTACAATGTATCAGTTACGTTGATATCAATAGAGCATAAAGAAAAGTGACAATATCATCATCAATGAAAACAGGTATATATGAACAATAATTATTTCTGCAATGTGAACTTTATATTATAAATGGATATACTGCTGGTATAATGTAACTATAGAGATTGACATATCTCCCATATCTGAACATTTTACCTGCAGCATGAGAACTGCTAGGGTTGCCCCAGGCCTCAGACAGTGCTGTTGAAATGGCTCCCAGGACATCGGGTTCCAGGGGAGTTGTCGCATTGTAGTCTAAGTAAATCCTACACAGTAAAGGGACTAGTGTATTAGTACAGAGAACTAAGCTACAGTCTTTTACTATGATGGACCGCGATAAGTTCAAAATACATAGTTACATGTTTCCACTACAACTTTTTCTCTAATAACAACATTCAACACCTTTCAGTTGCAAAAATGTTTAGTTCCTGTATTTTATTTGATAAGCTCCTTGATATAGAATTCAGCTCTTAGTTAAATGTTAGAATTATTTAAAAATACCAGTTGCATATCATATTCCCTTTATTAAAAAAGAAAATCAAAAGGAAAGCAGTATGTTTATCTGCAATGACTACAGATCCAGATCAGAGGGATTGGTGACCTACGTGTTTTACAGACAAAGACTATATCATTGTCCTCCAGACGGAAAATCCACAGACTCATCATGTTCTTCAGGATAGTAATTATAAGAAAGAGGTATGGTACCGGCTCTCCAACCAGATAACTTTTTACCACCACGAAGAACCAGCAGACATATTAAGCAAAAACGTTTTGATGATTTTACAATTGTGAATTTCGTAGACCATTCAGTCAAGAACCATTCAAAGTGCTACGTCGTGTCAGAAGCCAAAACAAATCACTATAAACACTTTAATTTTTTTAGAAAACCTGTGATAGCGTGGAACGGTTTGAATGAAAATGAAGTTCAGTCAGAGAAAGTGGATAGTTTTAAGGCGAAACAGCGCCTAAGCTGTTGGATAGATTAAATCCACCAAGTGCACTCTCTCCTTGCAGTGATTATCCCAGAATTGGGCCTACAGTGTATTAATTCAGATTTATGTATTTGAGTAATTAGCTGCATAATAGACATGAACACTTTCCAATAGGTACAATGCACATAAAGTATCTAAACCTCCTGCTGAACCACTTGCTCACGTTTTTCCTTCAGGTAAACTATAAAGTGTCATACCTTGTTGTAGTGATTAACATGTTTTTTATTTGTTATTTCATACTTATAACCATGCACATATACTGTGACACAGGAAAACTCTGCTGTTTAACTTTTTAAAATATATTTCGATCTAGATATTTCATGTTAAAAATACTTCTGAGAACAGAAACCAGTCTGCCCACGCAGGATATAACTGTGTTATGTCAGCAAATGAGGCAGATGACACACGAGAACATTGGAAGTATACTATAGATATTAAAAGGTTTCATCACAGTTTATATTAAGTGAACAGCTGCTTCCAGGCCAACTTATACATTACTCATTCCTATTGCACATTTTGATTTGTATCAATATGGTAATCGAATGTATGTGATGCTAATTATGGCAATATATAAAACAGGATAATGGGACAGAGATAAATACTTTTCCTGATCCATGTGGAAGGTTTGCTTCTTGCTTCGCTGCAGCGGCTGACATACGAATGACAAAACGGTATTTTACATTAAATTCGTAGGAAAGTCTAAAGTTGTTCCTAATACTAATAACTTTATTGTCTCCTTTGAAAAAGAGTTCTCTTCGGGGAAAACGGGAGGAAAGTGTCTGCTCCTCTTCAGCCGGCAAAAGCATGCCAATTACCATCGGTTCTGTAATGGCACACGAGTAAAAGAATGGAAAGGAATAACCACGACGTGCAATATTGCTTATATACAGGTCGCATAAAAATGCAAATTTTTTAGTCGTGTCATAAATGTCAAGTTGGGTGCGCGAAAGTTCAAAGGTCAGTATGGCGAAACAGGACGTAAACAAACTGTCGGACACATGTAGATATTTCGTGCGACTGGCTTTCCTCGTTGTGAAAATTCCATTTTTATGTTGCAAATCTCTTGTTGTTAGCTTATATCCTGCAAAACTGAAGGATATTTCAAATGACATTGTGTTGATAACGGGCGGAAGCCGAGGGATTGGACGACAGATAGCACTGGAGATTGCCAAACACAAACCAGAGCATGTGAGTGACAACATGCCTTAACAATCCCTTTATTACATTAATTGTGTCGGCCCGTTGTCTGTTCATTCAAATGTTCCCTTACGCATTGATATGTGTTAAAAGCCCAGACAATATAGCGTGTTTATGTAGACCCTGTCTACTGAATGAACTTGGCACATGTACAGGGGCTTGAGCATTTAATAATAATAATAATATACAACATTTATATAGCGCCCTATATAATTTGTAAAATTACTCTAAGGCGCTTAACAACATATGGATAATAGTAATGGTTATAATTGTGAAAACAACAAACAAAGGCTTACAATCACTTTTATACATTTAAGCAAGCAATGTGCACATAATTGAACAAATAAAAGGGGGGTATTTACATGACGTCTTTGCAGGGATTCTAAAATGCAGACCTGAAGATGTGAGTTTTGATGTCCCTCTTGAACTTGGCCAGGGTATTTGACTTTCTAATAGCAGATGTTAAGCTATTACACAACGTAGCCGAAACCCTCCCAAAGCATCTGTTTCCGTAGTACGAGATTTTGGGACACACAGTGATCGTGACGGCCAATACAGGGTAACAAGCTCCTGTAGACTTAATTGTTGCCCTACAGGCAATGACTCTCATATACGTTCTGTGCACTCATGGAATATGTCATGATGAAACAACAGTAGGTTTACAAAGGAGTGCAAGGGTATAACATTGGGTAGTATTGCACGGATATATATGCAGGCCTTTTTTATGGCTGATTGTGGGCCAATTCCATTGTGATTTTATTTTCTGTTAGAACCAAGTTATTTATTTCATTTTCCCTGAGTTGATGTTGCCATAGTTTTAATATTTTGGGACACTGTTTATTGCTGGCCTATGATTCGAAGCCTATATAATGGGAGGCCTAGGAGAACCAAACATTAAAGATGTCATCCATGCTTTGCCCTATTTCCAAAAAAAATGGTTCGAACTTGTTTTTCCTGCATTAATCCCTATATTGGGTCCTAATATTGGATAGCAGAATATTGGGTAGGTCAGGTATTCTGCAACAAGTGGCATATTTTTGTTAGAAAATAATGCAGATAGAAAGAAAATTACCTAGAATGTTGGTCAATTATTCTGCATAAGATCACATATTCTCTGAGGAATTACGGAAGATAAAAAGTAAATTACGTCTGTTTTAGGTGATATGTCACAGCATCAAAGTAGTATTTGCATTTTGGTAGCGACAAAATTACTGTATAAAGGGGATAACTCGAGAGAACATCTACTGATACGCGAGCTGTTGGTCGAACTGATGAACTCAAAGACAACAATTATCTGGTGTAATACAATTATGGTAATTAATATGATATCTGCACTGGGTAGTACTGTGTCATATTTGGTTAGTTTTAGGTCAAATTTAGAAGAATTAGGGAGTGTTGGGTCATAGTCACGGAATTTCGGTGATGTTTTCTGCACCAAATTGCATATTCTCCTATAAAATATGGCAAATAGAAGTAAATAACTAATATAAAGGTGATATTTCACAGTATCAAAATAGTATTGGGTACATAACTTGGTTTTATGGGGTAGTATGGGGTAGCATTGGGTAGTATGGGGTAGTATTACGTAGTATTGGGTCGTATGGGGTAGTATTGGGTTATATAGGGTAGTATTGGGTAGTATTGGGTCAAATCCCAGACTTACATGTCACATACATTTTTAGATAAACTTTATTTATTTTACAACAATTTTGATACAAGTCATGTCATGTTAACTTATATTAATCACTCTTGTTGGCCCGTATATTAGCGTGCGAGGGGTCTTTGTGTGGGAGGAAACCGGAGTGCCCGGAGAAAACATGCGTGGTTGGGCAGGTGGCCCCATAACTTTTCACGTCCGATCGGGGAATCAAACCCTGGCCACCTTTATGAAAGGCAACTGCGTAATCCACTGCGCCACCCGACCACATACATTGTATATGGGTATGTTTTGAATCAATTAGGGTTAGTCAAAACATACCTATATATATACCTACTTAAACAACTTTTCAAGTCCCTGTGTGTTTAAGGTAAATTGGTACGAATTTGATCTCTTCTCTGAGGTGCCCAATTAAATGTTATATAAGAGAAGATTTTCAGATTAAATGCATGGACATAAGGATTGTATTTGTTCTTGGTAATTACAGACAGTTTTGATAATCTTGAATGTCCAGTAATGTCTATGTATGTTAAGTAGTTGCCTTGCTCAAGTCTAAGTTTAAGAAAAACAAATATGGATCAATTGTTTTAAGAATCTGTGTCATGGTTCAGAGATCATACATGCTATACAAGTGTACCAAAATGAAGAAATCTTAAAATAAACTCCTGAACAGTAATATTTAGAGCATGCACAAGATTAGGGGCAACGTATACACAGCATTACAGGAAGCACAGTCAGGTACCTTTTTTTTCCGGACATTTATATATATTGTGTAGGAATCTTTTTATTAAAAAGTAAGAATACAAGCTGGTAGTTTATTGTTGATTTGAACATCATTTAGTGACAACTGACAAATGCATCAGAAACAAGTGCTTTCAAGTGTATCTTCTCTGTGTGCTGTTGTCCACACACATGATATCTTTTGCTATTCAGTAGTATGATATTGTAGGTATGAATGTTGAGCTCACATCAGAAAACTTTCAAGGTCATGAGGTCACTGGTTAAGGTCACAGACACACTTTAGAAACATGAGAATGGCTTATAATTGATATACATTATAGCACTTTTCTAAATGCTGTATGTTTTGACATTTCAGAAAGGTCAAAAACCTTTACCTGTGTATTAAAGGTCATAGAGTGATGTTTGTCAGGTTTTAGACAGCTCAGACATGTTGTTCTGAGGACCAAAAGGCATAATTATGATACTAGTCCGGTAATTTATTGGCATATTGCATGCTGCAAAGTATGCAAATAAGAAATGACCTTGACCCATCTTCAATGTCACAGGAGTCAGAATATTTTGCCAGAAGCTTAAATTAATATGTGTATCTAAATCAATCACTTGTGTGGGAAGCCACTTCTGACAAAGCTAGTTAGCACTTTGACAGAGGTGAGTGTTACAGGCCCTCTGGACCTCTTGTTAGTTATGTAAATGATAAAAAGATTGAATGAAAGCTGCAGACTGGTCATTGATTTATTGGTATATTTTTTAACAGGTATAAGTCTTAGAAGTTGGAAGAATTGGTAAATACTAGGTATTTGATTACTTTTTTTGTAATAAGTAGTAATTGAATTGCTTGGTATTGGTCAGATTGTGCTGTGGGGTCGAGGGATCGCCAATCTTGAGAGGACAGCTGCTGAAGTCCGCAGCCTTGGCATCAAGTGTTCCTACATGTCATGTGACTTAGGAGTGAAAGAACAAATATATTCAAAGGTTTGGTTTATTTAGATTCAACAAAAAACATATTTAATATATATGTGTCTTTGTGATATATGAGTTTCAAAATACGTTTTTGAAGAACTAAATAATATTCATACAGTGTCAATATTTTTCGGTTATAGATCTTTTTCCAAATGATTAGCTCACTGAATCCACAGTAATGAAAAAATGTAAATGGTATAAAACCCCACTTATTGGTGACGCTTGAGTATGTTGTGATTATATCCATTTTTTTTCATGATATTTAAGATAATGTCATCTCTTTTTTAGCCCTGGACCATCATCAGATGGTGGGCTATTTAAATCACCCTGCACCCGTGGTCCGTCCGTAAACAATTCTTGTTGACGCTAATTTCTCAGAAAGTACTGGAAGGATCTTTCTCAGATTTCACATGAGGTTCCCCATGATCCATATTTATGCATATCATTTTTTGGGACTGATCACAAAATCAAGATGGCTGACAGGCAGCCATCTAGAATTTGAGTTAAACTTTGTTAGCACTATTTCTCCAAAAGTACTGGAGAGATCTTTCTCAAATTTCACATGAAGGTTCCCCATGGTACTCAGTTATGCATATCATTATTTGGGACTGATTACACAACTAAGATGGCCGACAGCAGCCAGCCATCTAGAATTTGAGAGTTAAAGTTTGTTAGTGCCATTTTTCAGAAAGTACTTGAGGGGTCTGTCTTTCTCAAATTTACAATTAAGTTCCCCATGGTCCCTTGTTATGCATATAAACTTTTGGGACAGAAGGTAAAACAAAGATGGCCGACAAACGGCCATGTTGAATTTGAGAATGAAAATTTGTTAGCGTTATCTTAGAATGTTCAGGAGGGGTCTTTCTCAAATTTCACATGAAGGTTCTCCATAGTTCCTAGTTCTGCATTTCAAATTTTGGGGATGATTTGAAAAAACCAAGACGGCTGTTAGGTGGTCGTATTGAATTTGGGGCTAAACTTTTTTAGCCCTATTGCCCAAATAGTATTGGAGGAACCTTTCTCAAATTTCACATAAGGGTTCCTTTTGGTTCTTAGTTATGCATATCAAATTTTTGGACTGATCTGAAAACCAAGATGCGAACAGGCAGCCATCTTGTTACAATTTAAGTTTGTTATCGCTATTTCTCGGAATTTCCCGGAGGAATCTTTTTCAAATTTGATAAGTAATTAAGTTCCCCTTGGCCAGAGTTGTGCATGTTAACTTTTGAGGTTGATCAAAGGACTGATTAAGATGGCGAACAGGCAAATTGATCAAACAGATAAGAGAAAAGAAGAGAAAAGATCAAACTAACATAGGACTAATGAAGATGGTACAATGGTGGGTGCCAAGATCCCTCTGGGATCTCTTGTTTTGTTAATTTTATGCAGCTGTGATGTTATGTGTTTTTGTTTCAATGGTAGTTATGCCATTATAAGCCAAAGACTGCTGTTTCTAGTTACTATTACTTTGGGTCTATACTGATCTCTGTCAACAAACTTTGCTTCTATAAGCAAAATCAGTTTTGGCAGCTTATCTATTGACTGTTATATTTCAGGCACAAGAGATAAAGGATACCATAGGCCCTGTGTCTATTTTGGTGAACAATGCAGGCGTTGTGACAGGACGGAAGATTGTTGACAGTGTTGAGGAGGAGGTGGAAGCTACATTTGCAGTCAACACCCTAGCTCATATATGGGTGAGTGGAAACTCAGCATAAACCTGATGAGTCACTTAACTCTACAAAATTACTCAGTATAGACCTTATAGTATACTCAGTATAGACCTTATAGTCTACTCAGTATAGACCTAATGAGTAAACTATAAAAAGTATCGACCTGATGAGTCACTGAACTCTACAAAGTACTCAGTACAGACCTGATTAGTTACTTAACTCTGTTCAGTAATCAGTATAGACCTGATGAGTCACTGAACTCTACAAAGTGCTCAGTATCTAGATATGATTAACTCTACAAAGTACTCAGTATAGATCTGATGAGTCACTGAACTCTACAAAGTACTCAGTACAGACCTGATGAGTCACTGATCTATACACAATACTCAGTATAGATCTGATTAGTCACTGAACTCTACCAAGTACTCAGTATAGATCTGATGAGTCACTGATCTATACACAATACTCAGTATAGATCTGATGAGTCACTGATCTATACACAATACTCAGTACAGACCTGATTAGTCACTGAACTCTACAAAGTGCTCAGTATAGATCTGATGAGTCACTGATCTATACACAGTACTCAGTATAGATCTGATTAGTTACTTAACTCTGTTCAGTATTCAGTATAGACCTGATGAGTCACTTAACTCTACAAAGTGCTCAGTATAGATCTGATTAACTCTACAAAGTACTCAGTATAGTTCTGATGAGTCACTGAACTATACACAGTACTCAGTATAGATCTGATGGGTCACTGAACTCTACAAAGTGCTCAGTATAGATCTGATGAGTCACTGAACTCTACAAAGTACTCAGTATAGATCTGATGAGTCACTGAACTCTACAAAGGACTCAGTATAGATCTGATGAGACACTGAACTCTACAAAGTGCTCAGTATAGATCTGATTAACTCTACAAAGTACTCAGTATAGATCTGATTAGTTACTCAACTCTGTGTAGTATTCAGTATAGACCTGATGAGTCACTTAACTCTACAAAGTGCTCAGTATAGATCTGATTAACTCTACAAAGTACTCAGTATAGTTCTGATGAGTCACTGAACTATACACAGTACTCAGTATAGATCTGATGGGTCACTGAACTCTACAAAGTGCTCAGTATAGATCTGATGAGTCACTGAACTCTACAAAGTACTCAGTATAGATCTGATGAGTCACTGAACTCTACAAAGGACTCAGTATAGATCTGATGAGACACTGAACTCTACANCTGATGAGTCACTGAACTCTACAAAGTGCTCAGTATAGATCTGATTAACTCTACAAAGTACTCAGTATAGATCTGATTAGTTACTTAACTCTGTTCAGTAATCAGTATAGCCCTGATGAGTCACTTAACTCTACACAGTACTCAGTACAGACCTGATGAGTCACTTAACTCTACAAAGTGCTCAGTATAGATCTGATTAACTCTACAAAGTACTCAGTATAGATCTGATGAGTCACTGAACTATACACAGTACTGATCATTATAGATCTGATGGGTCACTGAACTCTACAAAGTGCTCAGTATAGATCTGATTAACTCTACAAAGTACTCAGTATAGATCTGATGAGTCACTGATCTATACACAGTACTTAGTATAGATCTGATTAGTTACTTAACTCTGTTCAGTAATCAGTATAGACCTGATGAGTCACTGAACTCTACAAAGTGCTCAGTATAGATCTGATTAACTCTACAAAGTACTCAGTATAGATCTGATGAGTCACTGAACTATATACAGTACTGATCATTATAGATCTGATAAGTTACTTAACTCTGTTCATTAATCAGTATAGACCTGATGAGTCACTTAACTCTACAAAGTACTCAGTACAGACCTGATTATTTAGTTACTTAACTCTACAAAGTACTCAGTATAGATCTCATGAGTCACTTAACTCTATTCAGTAATCAGTATAGAACTGATTAGTCACTTAACACTACAAATTACTCAGTACATACCTAATGGATCACCTATAATTCAACATAGTACACAGTGACTTAGCGTAGACCCAATGAGACACTTAACTCTCAGTAATCTTCAGTTTTTATCCCTAAAAAGTTGGTTTTTGATAGACAATGTTTGACACATTACTTAGGTATGCATTATTTAATTCAGACACTGAAGGCATTCCTACCAGACATGATGGACAGTCAGAAGGGCCACATTGTCACAATGAGCTCGGTGCTAAGTATGATCACAATGGCCGGCCTGTCGGACTATTGTAGCTCTAAGTTTTCTACAACAGGGCTTTGTGAGTCTCTCTACTGGGAGGTAGAGGAGTACCCAAACATCTTTATGACATCTGTACACCCTTACTTAGTGATCAACGACATGTTCTCAGCCTTGAAGCTGAGGTAAGTACCCCATCACCTGTATATACCTGTACCTGGTGACAAAGGACATGTTCTCATCCCTGAAGCTGAGGTAAGTACCCCATCACCCATATATACCTGTACCTAGTTACTAACGACATGTTACCATCCCTGAAGCTGAGGTAAGTACCCCATCACCCATATATACCTGTACCTGGTGACAAAGAACATGTTCTCATCCCTGAAGCCGAGGTAAGTCCCCCATCACCTGTATATGCCTTTACCTGGTGACAAAGGACATGTTCGCATCCCTGAAGCCGAGGTAAGTACCCCACCACCTGTATATACCTGTACCTGGTCACAAAGGACATGTTCTCATCCCTGAAGCTGAGGTAAGTACCCCATCACCTGTATATACCTGTACCTGGTGACAAAGGTCATGTTCTCATCCCTGAAGCTAAGGTAAGTACTCCATCACCCATATATACCTGTACCTAGTTACTAACGACATGTTACCATCCCTGAAGCTGAGGTAAGTACCCCATCACCCATATATACCTGTACCTGGTGACAAAGGACATGTTCTCATCCCTAAAGCCGAGGTAAGTACCCCATCACCTGTATATACCTGTACCTGGTGACAAAGGACATGTTCTCATCCCTAAAGCCGAGGTAAGTACCCCATCACCTGTATATGCCTGTACCTGGTGACAAAGGACATGTTCTCATCCCTGAAGCCGCGGCAAGTACCCCATCACCTGTATATACCTGTACCTGGCGACAAAGGACATATTCTCATCCCTGAAGCCGAGGTAAGTACCCCATCTCCTGTATATACCTGTACCTGGCGACAAAGGACATGTTCTCATCCCTGAAGCCGTGGTAAGGACCCCATCACCTGTATATACCTGTACCTGGCGACAAACGACATGTTCTCATCCCTAAAGCCGAGGTAAGTACCCCATCACCTGTATATGCCTGTACCTGGTGACAAAGGACATGTTCTCATCCCTGAAGCCGAGGTAAGTACCCCATCACCTGTATGTACCTGTACCTGGCGACAAAGGACATGTTCTCATCCCTGAAGCCGAGGTAAGTACCCCATCACCTGTATATACCTGTAGCTGGCGACAAAGGACATGTTCTCATCCCTGAAGCCGTGGTAAGTACCAGATATAAAATATATTGTTTCACTCAAATGTAACTTCACTGTCTTCCTTTAAAACTTGGTTTTAGAGATACATTTTATTGGTTTTTCTTTGCATTTTTGATACAGATTTCCAAGACTGATTCCTGCTTTATCAGAGAAGTATGTAGCCGAACGGACTGTACAGGCCGTGCTGACCAACACCTCATACATCATCATGCCACGAATCATGTACATCATCGTCCTAGCTCAGAGGTCAGTCATTTAACCCATAAGCTAAATTAGGGGTCAGTTATGTAACTCAGGGGTCGGTTTTGTAACTACAGTCAGTTATGTAACTTAGAGACAATCATGTAACTCATGATCAGTCTTGTAACTCTAATTTAAGTTATTTGTGTAACTCAAGAGTCACTAGCTTGAGTGTCAGTGTAACTTGGAGTCAGTCATGTAACTCAGGATCAGTTGTAAAATCTAGGGGTCAGTGTTATTTAAGAATGAAGCATGGCTGAGACCTTGTTGTGTGATTAACCTCAGTAATTCTGTCCAGTTAAAAAAGTAATTCCTAATAGACCTGAACAAGAGCGAGTTGGAAAACATTCATGTATAACATTCACATTTCCATTTAATAGGTTTAGTTAGAGTCTATGCAATGGAAATAGAAATATATATTAGTGATGGGATGTTGATTGAATATAATTGAAAAATCCATTGGTTTGCTCTTTCTGATTCTGTTTGAAAAGTTAATTGACTTGCTCTTTCAATTTTGACTGTATTGCTCTTTTCGATTCCGACTGAAAAATCCAATGGCTTGCTGTTTCCGATTTCAATTTGCGATTAGTTTTATAATGAGGCTATAGAACAGAAATGTGAATATGATTAAGTAATGAGATGTAGATTGATTACATTTAAAAATTACATTGGTTTTCACTTACTGGTTTCGATTATTGATTATTAATTTCATAGTCAATATAATTGGTTCATTACTGAACTAAGTGTCAAATGTATACAATGGAAAGCCTGTATTGAAAGTCATTGCTTTTTACGATTTCTAAAATATGCTCGATGGTAATGCAGAAAAAAAATCAAAACTATGTAGAAGTTGCTTGTAATCCACTCATTACAAAATAAGGAAACCTAAGATGTGAAAATAGTGTTGTCACTTTTGGAATTCATGAAAATATGAACTGATTATGCAATTGACAATTAATCAGTCAATTGCTTACTATACTTTCGATTACAAACCAATGATCGATTATGATTTAAAACCGATAACCCATCACTCATAGATATATTGTTGTCTTTTTGTAAATGAAAATAAACAGGTTTGTTCTCCTTTTCACTTCAGAATTTTTCCCGATAGTGTCTTACTGCCGATTTACAAGTTCCTGGGAACAGATACAGCCATGGACAATTTCTTGTCTCCGAAGTCATCGTTGCCAAAGGTCAAGTCAAGTTAACACCTGACCTGTGAAATATGTCTCTAGATTAAGGCGTGATATGTCTCGTAGGAAAATGAAACACAAAACGTATCGTGTTAGATCGGACACTCTTAATCCTGTGCAAGTCTATTATACTGAATAACTGAAACAAGAAGAGACATGAACCTATTTTATGTTGACTGTGTTCCTAAATTTGTGATGTACATAAGTAGTGTATTTTCTTACTTATGCTTCACATGTTTCAGCAGGAATTGATTTATGTGCATTTTCATGTTATAAACATCACATAATTGTGATTGATCAATAACTGCACCAACACCTCGTGTTCAGAATTTGTTCAGAATACTCTGAAGTAGCAAAAGCATCCCATTTCTAATTTCAGTAAAGAATGATAGATATGAAAAAGATGCCTAAAGGTTTGAAATAAGTCCCCTACCGGTACTACCGGTACTACCGGTACTACCAGTACTACCAGTACTACCGGTACTACCAGTACTCCCCAGTACTACCAGTACTACCGGTACTACCGGGACGACCAGTACTACCCGTACTACCGGTACTACCAGTCCTACCCGTACTACCTGTACTACCGGTACTACCAGTACTACTGGTACTGCCAGTACTACCGGTACTACCGGTACTACCGGTACTACCAGTACTACCAGTACTACCAGTACTACCGGTACTACCGGTACTACCAGTACTACCCAGTACTACCAGTACTACCGGTACTACCAGTACTACCGGTACTACCAGTACTACCAGAGGGGACAACAGGTTTACACTACACCTGTACTTCAGTCAGTCAATGTGTTGGTCCTTCTATGCATCACTTTGTCCAGGTCATATCACATGTACTCTGTTACCTACAACTTCGTAATTTTTAATGTGAAATTCTGTTTAGATGGTGTTGTATTACATACTGAAATTGAGTCTTGTACCACAATATGAACCGAGTAATAGCCTTCTGTTTTCATTTTCATTCTAAAGGGTTTTTGTCTCAGAGGTGAGCCATGGATACCATGATTATTCTCCATACTTTGCCTTGTTATAATCAAAATTATGAAAAAAAGTAAGCAATGTCTTAATATTTTACTCCTCACTTTTCTTTCCATTTCTTTGTGAAACATCTTAGTTCAAAACAAATTGTTGGAACTGCTGCATGTTATTTAATGAAACTTCATGAATGTGCATGTATCGTGAATTGACAGTGTAACTATATGTATATGTGTTTGTATGACAATGAGACGTGTCTTATCACTATATGTATATGTAGGTGTTTGTATGACAATGAGACGTGTCTTATCACTATATGTGTATGTAGGTGTTTGTATGACAATGAGACGTGTCTTATCACTACATGTATATGTAGGTCTTTGCGTGACAATGAGACGTGTCTTATCACTATATGTATATGTAGGTGTTTGTATGACAATGAGATGTGTCTTATCACTACATGTATATTTAGGTGTTTGTGTGACAATGAGACGTGTCTTGTCACTATATGTATATGTAGGTGTTTGTATGACAATGAGGCGGGTCTATCTAGTATATAACACACAGTGTCCGTGTGTTTGTATGACAATGAGACGTGTCTATCTACAAATGTAGTATAGCACAGTGTTGATCAGTGTGTTTGGGGATCAAGCGTGTAATCCCCACTCTTATTTATATATACAGTTATATCTGAGATCTAGAAGAGCAGGAGACAAGCCGTTTCTCCTGTTACCATCACATGACCTTTTAAGTCACATGTAACATGACGTGACTGTCAGTGAACCCAGTCAGTGGACAATGAAGCTCTCCAACCACAGTGACAGGTGTAAACAAGAGTTTTTTTTAATGTTTTCAAAAGTTTATCATATGTTAAAGGTGCTTTTTGTCATCATTTTTAGATTATGAAATAATACTAGTTTTTTTTTATATTTCTGAATATGATATGTACATGTATATATACAATATTACAACAGTATTATATGTACATGGGAATGTCATATATGCTATTCATAATACATGTGTTTGTGTGTGATAAAGTTTTGTGTTTTTGTTGTTTTTTTGTTTATGCATATAATTATGGTAATTGAATGTATTAAAATCTTAAAACATAAAACAAAAAAAAGTATTTAGAAAATGATAAGAGAGGGATGTTACTCTGCATTTTCAAACTTAACATAAATGTTTCACTTTATTGATTACCTTGATACACTTTATATACATGAACATGTACTACAAATGTATATACATTGTACTATCAAGATAGTTTGTAAAGAATGACATTCTTGCGTGATTGACAATCAAACAACTATTCTCATCCTAGTTTTATATCTGGTTGATTACTGAAGATCTTTTTAAACTACATGTCCAATTAACCAGCTGAACTGATCGCGGAGACAGCTGCCACACTCCGTGCTCTTAGATACATTATTTACCATACTTGCAAACTTTTTTTAATTTCCATGGGAATGATAAATAAAATATGTGTATGTATACCATAATGAAAAACAACACTTTTAAATGGCATCTTTTGAGCTGCTACATATTCTAATGAAATCATCAGATCTTCGAAAAATATGATTAATTAAGTAAATTCACTGGTTGAAAATGCTCAATTTTAGGGTCCGAAATCGGGAGTCTGCCTCCAAAATAGAGAGAGTTGGCAAGTATGATTTAATATAAAAAAAAAAGTTTATCATTCAACAAATAGACTGGTAATTTTCTCTTCCAATGTAATTAATATTTTATGCATTAATTTTACTACATGTATTGTATGTTCAACAAGGTTATTATTGTATTTACTATTGTGATGATGTGTCTATAAACCTAAATTTATTGCCAGAACATTGGGCCTTTTCGTTCGTCACCAACCAATTCATCTATTTACATGATCATGTGATATAATCAAGGGGTGCAACTCCAAATCATAAATGACAACTTTGTAAATCAGCCCACCTGTGATTTAGGTAGAGTAAGATTATCATAAACATGTATATATGTGTACCAACACCTCAATAATGCAGTATATTAGCCAGGTAGAATCTTGTAAAATTTAAAACCTGAAACAAATTAGTGTTAGATATCTGGCTGAAATCTGTGACATATGGCTGATGTACTGCATTTTCTGATATTTCTATCTGGAAGATTTTATTTTATTAGATATCTTATATATTTTTTTGCAATGTTTATAGATATATGCATAAGATATCTCATATACATTACATTATGTGTATAATATCTTGTGTATTATATATAGCATAAATTGAAAATTTTGTAAGATATCTAATGTAAATAAGATAATTAAATATCTTATAGATTTTACTTAAAATATTTGATAAATACTAAAGAATATCTTATATAACATAATAGATTACTTATATATAAGATGTGATATATATTTTTAGGTCACCTGAGACAAAGTCTCAAGTGACCTATTGCGATCGCCTTTTGTCCGTCGTCGTCCGTCGTGCGTCCGTAAACAATTTACATTTTCGACTTCTTCTCCAAAACCCCTGAACCAATTTCAATGAAATTTTGCAGGGACCTTCCATGGACAAAGGTCAACAAAAAT